AGATCGAGATGCCAGGATTAATTATAGGTTATGTCGACTATTGCAATAAGAATTAGGGACGAAAATTTATTTGAGTACAACTTATCATCCTTAAACTGATGGTCAAAGTGAACGAACAATTCAGACTGTTAAAGACAAGTTGCGAGCATGTGCAAATGATTTCAGTAGTAAGTGGGATGAACATATTCCATTAGTGGAATTTGCTTATAATAATATTTATCATTCAAGCATTGGAATGCCCCCATATGAGGCATTATATTGAAGAAAATGTTGAACACCTTTGTGTTGGCTTGAAGCAAGTGAGAAAAAGCTTACCGGTCCAGAATTGGTAAGAATTACCAATGAAAAGATTAAAGTTGTGCAGACGCACATGAAAGTGGTCCAGGATCGACAAAGAAGTTGCACAAATTTGAAGAAAAAACCCTTTGAAATGAACACTGGTGATTTAGTAATGTTGAAAATATCACCATGGAAAGGGGTGGTGCGGTTTGGTAAAAAGGGTAAGTTAAGCGCACGATATATTGAACCGTTCAAAATTCTGAAGTGAATCGGATCCCAAGACTTTAAACTGGAATTACCTCTAGAACTTAGTGGGGTACATGTTGTATTCCATGTATGTTATCTGAAGAAGTATTTTGGTAAGGATCATGAGATCATTACATTAAGTGATTTAAAGTGGAATCTCATAATCAGTTAGTAGAAGAACCGAAATTGGGTATCAAGTGAAAAAGTTAAGAAACAAAGAAATTGAATTAGTATTAGTTCAATGGAAGCAGTCCTAAGGCCCAAACCTTACATGGGAGACAAAGACTGAAATGATGAAGCGATATCCTCACCTCAAATTTTAATAAGATTTCCAGGACGAAATCTCTTTAGGGGGGAAGATTGTAACGAACTGAATATCTTGTATAATATAATATGAAAGTGTATTATGATATTAAATAATTAATTGATGATGTAAGTATGTGTTATATTATGTATTTAGTCTAAATAAATATAAAGGTGAACTCAAGAAGTGAAATGGTAGTGTTTTTGGGAAAGTAACATGTATATCCTTACACTTATTGCATTATAACAGAAAATATATAATGAATTAGTGTAAGTGGTCTAAATATAAGTTGTATTTCACTTCGAGACAGTCACATGGATATAAAGTTTATGAAAATTCGAGCTAGTATGAGAAAGTTATTACCATTTGAAGTTGACCAGATAAATCAGGAAATCACTACCGCCGACAGTCGGGCCACCCTCCCTTGTGGCGGCATGTGAGGGCGCGTTAGTGGGCCCCACATGTCGGGGTTGATTCCAAACGATGCAGAATGACGTGTTCCTTCTAGATCTCAGGTGGGACCCACTAGAACGATCGAATAATTACTCTAAAGATGATCAAACGTGTGTATATGCATGATTAATGTGGTTCCATTATAAATGGAATCAGTGACTTAAACTTTTCACCATATATATATATATATATATATATATATATATATATATATATATATATATATATATATATGCCCCATATGAAATATAATACACCTACATACGTATAAAATACGAAGTCCAATCGAGGTGCAGATAGCGGGGTTTCTTCACAAACGATTGTACTGTAAGTAATACGTGATTATTTTGTATTAAGCAATTTATCAGTATTATTTGTTGTATCAAATACAATCTAAGATATTGAATGATTGTATATTGTAATGACCCGATATTAAAAATATAAGTCCTTATATTATTGTTACATGATTTGGCGGAAGCATCCAAATCTAATAGCAATAATGGCAAAAGATTTATACGGTATGGAATCTTGGAAAGTTACCAAGATACAAATGGCACATAAATACTATATATGATGTCATTAGGATAAATAGAGGGGTAGGGTTTTTACCCGCATATGAAAACTAATACGGTTATTTTACTAATATTTATTAGGAAAATAACCAACCAGATGTGGGCAGCTTAATAAGGAAATTGTAGTTAGTCAACCTAACTACCAGGGTGGGTTATAAATTTGTATATGAATACATGACTATGTGTTTAATGAAAGTGTTAATATGTTAATATTTGCATATATTGTGAAAATATTAAATGTTAACAAAATATGTTAATAATATGTAACCCGAATGTAGTCCTCGGGTAAAAGGTCGCTTTACGTGACCTAGCTCAAGTGGAGCATTATACCCGGCTCAAGTGGAGCATTATGCCCAGCTCAAGTAGAGCACTATATGTCACTGTGGTGAATAGCCCAAGTAAGGCACAAATGAGAATATTATTAACTGAATGGTTATAAAAAAAAAATTTAAGTTGTTTATTTTATAACTCACCAAACATGTATGTCTGATATATGTTTTGTCATGTATTACAGGTTCTTGCTACCTTAAAGCTAGTGTTGGGAGAAAAAGGAAAAGACCTGGACTGGAAATAGTTTTGGTATCGTATAATTATGTTTGTTGTAATTATGGTTATGATATGTTTATGCACCCATTAAGTATTCTGGGAAAAAAATTATAGGCTTAAAACTCTAGTTGTAAAATATTGTAAAAAGAAAAACTCTGATAAAATTTCCAAAATAAAAATATAAAATATGTTTGAAAAGTTACAGGTGTTACAGTTTTGAAGGAAACAATGATCTTATTTTAATTGAAAATCAAAAAATTTATTATGATTTTTGGGACGTTACACAAACAATCAACAATAATAATAATATATGAGATCCTATATGGTTTCCTTCTTTAATTTGGGCTATCTCTTGCCTTACAACTCCAGGCTTCTACAAGATCACAAATTATAACAATCATTATGATTGCTTAATTTTTTTACACATTTTAGCAAATTATGAAGCCATGTTTCCAGTACAGATTTATGCAACCAAATTAATAAACTGTCCTTTGATCCATAAACGAATAAAAAACAATGAGTGCTTAAATAAGATTTACAAATTTCTAGAAATTTATGAATCCATGTTTCAAGTTGTTACAAATGTATCCAAACCAAATTGGTAAACTATAGCAAACATTGGTATCAATATGAAAAATGGCTACATAGATAGGTAAAAACATAATCTAATTTTGTTGCATACATTAGAAAAAAGTTGCAACTTCACTACAAAAATAAGTTTTTTACCATCATATTAAGACCATTAAGAAAAAAAGTGCATGCATGAGAAGCAATATTCTAGCAACATTCTGGTATTGATTCAATCTTAAAAACTGTAAACTAAAAGTTAAGTTGCCTCTGTCTTTTTCAACATGATTTTGATAGTAGATCCTGCTAAAGTCATTAAGTGAGACTTTCTTTTTATGGACAATGAGTTTTCTTCCCCAGAACTGCTCAGCCACTTGTTCTTAGCATCTACAATTAATCAATATTTAGGTATCTTACAAGCCACATGAACAACATGTCATTGGAAATGTGTTGAGCAACATAATTTGTTACTTCCCAAAACATTTATGAAGTATCCTCCTATTAATTTGAACATGGTAAAGATCAAATCACTAAATTAATCTAGCTCTGTGATATTCAAAATGTTGGGATTTTGTGACAGCCAAAGAGCCTAAAAATGAAACAGGGTTGCAACAACCAAAATACAAATTTGCACCCAGTGAGTCCAAATTATGAATTAGGGCTTCAAAGTATAATGAAATCACATGGTACAGAGGTATATTATGTAAGAAGGAAATCCAATCAAGCATATTCAAAAAAATATATCACATCATGCAACTCTGAAATACCCTCACTCTGTATCGTGAAATCAGATTGCCGAGATCAGTCACAACATCCAAATGTCAAGTAAAATTGGGAACAAGGAGAAAGGTCGTACACGATTCTCGATGAAAGTTGCAGATGAACAAGAACATCAACACTAACTCTTGGGAAACTTTGATAAGTATTGAGGGTAGAATTGTCATTTCAATATTTAGTTGTTATTAATTGTTATAGTAGTTTGGTTCAAGTTAGCAGCTCTTATTGTTAGCTTAGTGCATGTTAGAAAGTTAGTTGGAGTTGAGTAGCTTGTAGATGTAATATGTAAGATGATGCTTAAGAGTAACTAGTCCTCGACGTGTTGCACATGAAGAAAATTATATATATATATATATATATAATATATATATATATATATATATATATATATAGGCTTAGGTTATTATATTCAAAATAATTATTGTGTTATTGTATTCATAAATGTGGGTCAATCATTTTACTTATCTTAAGAAAGTGATTAATACATATTATTGAATTAAAAATAATCGAAAAATAACATCTAATTTAACTAGAAGGGTATTTTAGTCAATTAATATAGATTTAATAAAGGAAATTTGCATATTTTAAGGGATCATAGATTCTATTAATTTTAAAAATCCGATTTTACGAATTATAAGGTTTTTAATTCGGACATTCTGACAGAATATGCTTGAGTATGTTCAAAAATAAAAATATTCTTGAACCATAAAATAATAAAAATATTATTGAACATGTTTCTTGTAGAATAACAAATTCTCGAACCAGCAATTGAAGAATTAAAACAAAAATTATATTAATTCTTATAGAATACATGTAACAATTGCTAAGAATTACATTTATTGTTAAAGAATATAACTAAAAAACTTTCAAATCGGGAAAAAAACATCAAAATCTACCAAATACACTAATTCATTCTAAAAAAATAATGTTGCTAAGAGGCGTCGTTCAAATTTCGTGGTCCGTTCTTCAAGCATCAGTTTCTGTGGAAACAAATCCAATGAATAAATTAGTGAGAAAATATCCATATTCCATTCCAATATAATTGGAATTCGTGATTCCATTCTGATAGAATTGGAATTCATTACCAATAATTATATTAATGTGGGGCATTCTAACAGAATATGTTCATGATTATCATAAAAAACATTCTTTTCTGATAGAATACTATAAACGAAGAAATACCATTCAGCTGCATAATCGATGGATCCATCATCCTTCAAATTGGAAGGAAGCTGTCTAATTCTTTCAAGGTGTAATTAGAAACCGCAAAGCCTATCTTTGGATATGTGTTTGTCAGGGGTAAGATGGTCATTTTTCATTTCAATCGTAGTGACACTCTTCTTGACAAATGAATCGGGAACAATTTGATCACTTTGTAAAGTTGCATCCAAAACTCCCTCGTTTAACTTGCAAATTTGATATTTTGGGGAACGACCTTTCGTAACATAAAACAAATAAAAAATTAATATATACTAAATGACCATTTTACCCTTAAACAAACTAAAGGGAGAAGAACGAACCATAGACAATAGCCTCGACTGTAGCTTCAAGACTAGTATGAACTCTCAATTCAACCCTAGAAATGATCTCAACAGCACAATCAAAAGTAGAAGGACCTTTTCTTTCCAAAACTGATTTCTGAACACCTCTTCGATTTGCTTCATCATCTCCAAGAGTCACACTTTGAATTCCTCCAACAAGCATTTCTAAAGAAGGATTCATGACTAAATTATCTATTGTAATTCCATGAGCAGTTGCAACTAACTGAATCCCACGTTGTGCGATAGTAATTGCAGTTGTTGCTTCAAGTTTTGTCCCAATTTCATCGATTACAATCACTTGAGGCATATGGTTTTCAACTGCTTCGATTAACACGTTATGTTGCATATCAGAATCAGGAACTTGCATCCTTCGAGCATTACCTATACGTGCATGAGGTATATCACCATCTTCACCGATTTCATTTTGAGGTGTCTACAATCATTACACGTTTTTTGTATTCATTTGCAAGCATTCGAGCGACATCCCTGTAACAGAAAGAATCAAACAAAAGAAAGGAGAAGAAGAATGTAAGCGTATGAAATAGCATACCTGATAATTGTAGTTTTTCCACCTCCTGGATGTCCGATAAGGAGTAAAGAAGCTCCATCTTTAACTAGATCTTTAAGTAATTTGGCGCTTCCTGATATAGCTCGACCAACACGACAGGTTATCCCGATAATTGCACCTTTGTGGTTTCTAATCGCACTAATTCGGTGCAATGTTCTGCTAATGCCAGCTTGATTATCAATGGCGAAATCGCCTACCACTCCGATTTCTTTTGTTCTTAACATTACACTCCCGATTGTAGTCACGATTCAGATTTCATTCGTTCACAGGAAGGACATTCACAGCAATTTTGACTTTTCGTTTGACCGGTGTTCTTCCCAATTGAGTCCCCAAATGATTCTGATTGAGCTCCTAATTCCGAATTAATTAAGATCTACACCATGTAACGAACACAAATTCATTACTCGAGAAAAAACAATCGATGTACTTACTAGAATTTTGATTTTCATACCTTTAGATCTGGTCTCGAATATCATTGATGGAGCAGGTTGACGACGAAACGTGATCAGAAACACCAGATACCGCAGTCAAAAACAACATTCTCAAGGAAATTGACGTCAATTTCACGTCGAGACTGAAACTGAAGCTGAAAAAAATTCTCCTGATCTTGAGAATCCAATCTTTGGGGAGCCATTTCTCTGGATCGAGATTTGTATCGGCAATAGATGGTGGTTTTAAAAAACGATGGACGGAGAAAAACTAGGTAGCTGAAGTCAATGGTTACCATAATTATAGGATATTATTTGTGGAAACTAATTATCAAATTACCTATTTACCCTTATTTATTATTTAATTATTTATTTTTATTTTAAATTTTGATTGGCCCATATTTATACATACAATAATACAATAGTTACTTTAAATACCTGAACCTATCTCTCTCTCTCTCTCTCTCTCTATATATATATATATATATATATATATATATATATATATATATATATATATATATATATATATATTGTGTTTAATATAACTAATATGATAAAAGAGATGTTTATTATAAGGTTTGACATTTAAGAATTATATTATAATGAGAATACGTTTCTTTCAAATTATTCTTCATGTAAAATGGTATTAGAGTGATTCTTCTGTGTTAATCATATCGTATTCTTTTGAATCAATTTCAATTTCATTCTTCTCTTATTGATTCTGTTTTTCATTCGATTGAATTGATTCTTATTTTCATTTATTCCTTTTTTTGTTCATTGATTAATCATGACATAATATTCTGATTCTCAAACTAATTCAGTGAACAAAATTCTGTGAATAATCCATATTTTGTTCATCATTCTAATAATCCTGGAACTATTTTAGTTTCTCAAATCTATATTTTGTCAGCAGTGGTACCATTGGATGAAATTCAGGTGGATGAGCATCAGAACTATGTTAAGAGGCCAATTACAGTTTTAGAGAGGAAGACAAAAGGTGATCGGCTTTGTGAAGGTACAGTGGCAACACTAGAAGGGTTCAGAATGAACTTGGGAACCCAAGGAGGAGATGTGCAGTCAATACCCTGAGTTATTTGTAGCTACGGATTTTAAGGACGAAATCTGATTCAAGTAAAGGAGAGTTGTAACACCTATTTTCTGCTATGTTGTTTGTTAATTATCTTCTTTAAGTTACGTTATAGTTAGGGTTTTAGGGAGGATCACGACGTGAATAATTGATTGTCACGGTGTGTGCCATGTCATTAACTAGCGATGCGACCTTATATGGGTCATGACGTGAAGCCACTATCAACCCAAACCCTAATCTCATGCTTTGGACCCTATATTATGGAACTAACTCCTAGGTTTCTGCTTCATTCTCAACCTCCATACTTAGATCGAATACCCTAGCCCCATACCTCCTTGCTCCTTGGTGTTTTGTTTGATTTTAAAGAAGAATATTGTCATTTTGTGTCAAGTGAATCAAATTACAAAAGTTTTCTACCTTCTTGTGACCTTATTTAGCTCTGTAAGTCTTGAAGATCCAACCTTTAAGACTTTTTCATGGTAGATCTAGGTTGTTGGTGATGTAGAAGTCATTTTGGCCCCTTAACCTTGTTTTTCTTAGAGTTGAAGAACTCTAGGACCTTATTTATGTTATTTCGATGCTTATGGACTTATTAGATTGGACAAAAGGTTCATGCATGTGCTCCCTTTGGACCATGCAGAAGGATGTGACCTTCTGGAAGTTGTAAGGACCTAGGATTTGGGATTTTAGTCTTTTGAGCCTTGATTCTGGATAAAGTTGGAAACTTCATTCATTAAGACCTTTATGAGTTTCAAATCTAAGAGTTTGAGCCTTAATATGAAGGGATTAAGTGCTTAACTCATAAAATGGTTTATGCTTCGGAAAGCATGACACGACCAAAGATAGGTCACAATGCTAGTTTTGTTGAATCTTTGTGACTATTTTGTCATCACGTGATTGCGACAGGACCAATAGTTGGGCCGCGACACATTAACCGTTGACCATTGACTTTGACTAGTTGACCGGTGACTATTTGACTACTTTGATTTTTGGTCAAACTTAGAAGGTTTAAGTTGTATACTTAGGTTTAACCTCTAATTGGTTTCTAGGTGATTTGTGAGACCAATTCATGCGAGTGTGCGCATGTAGCTATGATTCTTCAGTTTTCGCTTCAGTGAGTTATCCTTATACTATGTGTTATGATATATATCCTATACATGATAGGATGTAGTGCTATTGTAGTATGTTGATTATACAAGTAGGCTATCATAGTCTATTAAATGTTTTTTAGGTAGTTCCTATGATCGTGGGAAGGCTCCCACTTGATTGTATTGTATGCGCATCGCAAATGATCGTGAGATTTTGGGGAACTCGCTTAGTTTTTCATGACTAGGTTTGATAAATTTTGATACTATGGTTGGATGATATTTTGGAGCAATTTTGTGACAACCCGGAATGTCTATCTCTAATTCATCTCGATCATTGAAAGTCAGATTTGTTTCGGTTACCTTTTAGCCCAGTTAAGGGTCTGTTTGAGAGTTTCTGAGCCTAGTGTAATTTATGATTGGATGCTAGGATGAGTTAGCTCGAGATCGGGAGGCTAGATTCGAACCAGAAAATCACTCACAATGTGTTCACGGCCACAAACCTGTTCACGGCCGTGAACCCTCCCCATATATATATATATATATATATATATATATATATATATATATATATATATATATGAGTGACCTCATTTTCTCCTCATTTCTCCTCCTCCCAACCGTGAACACCCCCATTCTCTCTCAAGAAGCTTCGACCGTGAACCCTCCAAAGCTCCAAAAACGTAAGTGTTTCATCCTTAAACTTGTTATACTTGAAAGACTACTAGATCCTAGTCTTGATTCTTCATGATTCATCACCATCTTCATAGCCTTGAAGAGTTCACGGCCGTGACCCCTTCATAGGGCTGTGAACCCTTCATAGATGGGTCGTAAACCCTTCATAGATTCAAAGGGCCGTGAACCACTAATGAGGCCGTGAACCTCATGAGGCTGTGAAACCTATACGGCCGCAAAGCCGTCCATGGGTGGCCGGAAACCCCTTCCAAGCTTCCATTTGTGAGCCTAACACTTCATTTAGGGTGTTTCCTACAATCTTAGGTGGTTTCCTATACTTTTTAGTAGTACCACTAATTGAATACACATATATGTTAATATGTGCTTAATAGGACCGTACTGTGCTCGGGACTTCACTTAGCATACCAAGCATCCTATCTTTGTCATTCATCCGAGTCATTCACTATCAGGTGAGTTCATACCCCTATATTTTCCGAGTTTTTAATGTTTTAAGTGGGGGGTAAAGGCACAAGTAATCTTGTGTTGAAAATATAATTTGCTTTAATATATTTTCCTATCATTAGTATACATTGAACATAGAACTTACTAAACATGGTAAACATTGTTACTACTAGACTTGAAATCAGTTTTACAAAATATGTTAAGATACAAACATTACAAACACAGTTTTCAAAACAAAGGGAACAAACTTATGAATTATGAAATAAAAGATATTATTTTATAAGGACTCATGTTAATAACAAAAAGGGGTTTTCATAGTATTATTCATGGATTCATTGAGAGAACTACAGTGTGAGACACGTCTTATAGATAGAGTCTCATGGAGGGAGAGCGTGAGTTTGTGTATAGATCTATACAGGACTGACAATCCCGCACACTGACTATTAGCTACAGTCAACCGGGGGTGACAAACGTCTTTTCAGTTTTCAACGTCCGAAGTACGTCATATTGGTATTCGTCCATCAGTATGGTTATAAGAACTCACAGGGGAAACAACGACTCGTTCACGTAATAATATACTTAACAAACAGTCAACAGGGTTAGTAACTATGTGATGACTTAGTACGTACATTAGGGTAATATGAAATTAACATCCAGCATGCAGTGGGATGTGTGATATCCGCCTCATTTCCTGTTCCTTGTTTGGTTGTGGGCTTAGGGCAGAATCACCCAATCGAATGTCTGTTCGATCTAGATTTCTATAACTCGTATGTACTAAGTGATCACAGGAGGGTATTAACAACACTTTCAGTATACAGAACAACACGTTTTCAACTAGTTTTATTTATGTAATAAGACTACTATACATTACCGGTGGTAGCCAGGGTTTTCAAACAGAACAATGTATAAACAACATAAGTATGGTAGATACTTGTACTCTACGATTTAGAACAGATAATTCAATAAATTACATTTAGGGAAAATATAGGATTTTCCAGGATAAACATCAGTACTTTACAAACAATTGGTTTATTATTTAACTAACGAATATTCATTATTAATTCTATAATTCCTTAGTTTATGCATCCGAGTTACGTATGAAGAATATCCGATAGACAGTGGAATGTGTGGTTTCCGCCTCATTCCCTGTTCCTTGTTTGGTTGTGGGTTTAGGGCAGATCCACACAATTAACTGTCCATTCGATATTGGTTTATACGTAACTAGTATGAGCTAAGTAGTTATAGAAAGAATGGGTTTAATCATGCTTTTCATAAGAAAATATTGGATTTTCTTGAAGAACACTTTCAACAGATATCAAAGGACCAATACAGTTAACTTTGTAAGTATCTAGTGAATACTTTAGGATTATGTACATAAGGATCCGACAACCAGTGGAATGTGTGGCCTCCGCCTCATTTCCTGTTCCTTGTTTGGTTGTGGGCTTGGGGCAGAACCACAAAATCGATTGTTTGTTCGATTTGGATTGTATATGATTTGTATACACTAAGTACTCGCAGAAAGAACTAGTAAGAATCATTTTTACTTAACATTCATTACATCAGGAAAGATAAGGTTTTCTGGAGAAACATAACGCACTTTTCGAAAGAACAAAGAACAGTTTTCCAAAACAAAATGCTTATGAACTCACCAGCTTTATGCTGATACTCTTTCAAAACCTACTTGTATTCTCAGGACATTAGTAGACAGGTACACACGCCGGATTCAAGAAGATGGAGCATAGTAGCTTCGAGTCTTTACTTGTATTTACTTTTGAAGTCAGTATTATATGAATCAAATGTAATGTAAACATTATACTATTAATACAATGGTTGTTGTTGCTTTGATTACTATTATTCAATTGTTGTGATACTATACATGACGTCCTCCGCCCCCGAACGTTTTCGACGTTTCGGTTTGGGGATGTGACAAATTTACTACCTTGATTTTTGAAAAATGTTTTGGGTGGTTTACTTATGTTTTCAAAAAAAAATTGGTTTGAAATTTGGGACGTTACACTAACATTGATTAGGCGGGCTGCCCCAATACGTGGTTTCCAACATCAGACAATTATGTACTTGTGGTATGACCTATCTTGGCTCTCAAAACAACAAGACAATATTTTTTGATCAAGTTTTGAAATAGAATATCGTGGCATTAGGAATGCGGTTGCAAAAACATGTTGGCTACATAACATACTTACCAAAAGGCTTCTAGCCCAACGTGGTGCCCTCTTTCTTTGAGGTTGAGGGTTCAAGTTGCGTCGTGGACATATGTGGAATTAGGTGTTAGCATAGGAGTAGATTAAATTTGCCATAAGGCATGCTTGGACTTCTTTGGGGAGCATGCAGTTCATTGTAGAGAGCTCTCGGGTTTCAAGTATCAACACGATCTGGTTAGGGATGTTCTTTTAGACATATTTAGGTGCGCCAGGGTTTTTGCCAAGAAAGATGCACCTGTGAACTTTCTAACTGACCCATTGGAAGGAAGATCAACACTTAGACCAGCTGATGTTTTAATTTTTGGATGGGATGGAGGGAAGCATGCATGTATGGATCTAACAGGGGTTTCCCCTCTTATGGGCTTGGGGAGTGTTGTTTCATTACGGGGCAAGTTGCATCATGCAAAGTGGCAAAACATGAGAAAGCATGAATAGATAATCAACAGACGTTTATACATTTTGCATTTGATACTTTCGGTTTCCTTGCGTCAGATGATGTGGAGCTCCTCAATAGAGTCCAACGAGTCATGCATAGTAATGTTATGACCTCAAGATCCATGGATATTTTTTTAAAAGAATTAGTATTGTCATCCAAAAAGGGGTTGTGACACAGCTTGCTGGTTGTTTACCCGCTACATCTATGTAAAACTTTATTTAAAGTTATATAATTTAGTATATTTAGCTAAGAAAACATAATATACTTTGTGAATTGCACCAACCACTTGTTAAACCACCATTGTCTATTGCCATAACGTTAATGGTGTTTATTTGTAAGACAAAGCGCGTCAACATCAGAGAACCAAACATATTTAAATTCATATTCATTTTATTCGAGGCAAAGTCGTCATAGGCCATTTTCGTATGTTGCACGTTCCCTCATCATCTCCATATGCATACATTTTCACCAAAAGACTCGCCTCGTCTCTTTTTCTCGATTTTACATTCCATCTAAAACGTCCGTAATAGACCTCTCGTTATATTGCGAAAGATATTAATATATTATTTACTAGGTGTAAAACTCGTGTATTACACGGGTTGATTAAAAAAAAATAAATATTAAAATGTAAACATTAAGTATTTTTTTAAATAAAATTTTAAAATAAGGAAAGAAAAAACGTATTAATTACGATTACTATCATATTTATTATATATAATACTTTGCATATATAAGTATTATGTGACTTTTTAATTTAAAAAATTAGAAAAACTTAGAAATTGACATGTGAATATTATTTAATTTCAAAAATATCATAAAATGATAAGTATTAAAACTCATGAAAGATTGACATGTGGCAAAATGGATCTTCATTTATCATAGTTGATGTTTGTATTCCGGTCCTTGTCCTCCATGGATTGGATCCGATCCATATTTGTTGTATGCATTTTCTCTATATCGACATTAATGAGAAGATAATGGGGAAATACTTTGATTACAATACATTTATAAGGTTTTGGATCGATCATAACCCTTATGAACACAAGAATAGAAGTAAAAACATTCTTTAAGCAGATAGTTGCCAATCATTTGACCTTTGCGCCAAAAGAGCAATAGATCTATTGTTATAAAATTCAGATATAGTAATGTTTAAAGACTCGAAATTCCATCTTGCCAGTTAGTTATACCGTGGGAAATAAACGTACACTAATAAGACCAATTTATTTATAAAAAAAAAAAAAAAATCATGTCTAACCATGATCATAACATCATTTATAGATCTGCTGTTATTTTAATTTTTTCCATCGATTATCTAACATTTTTCACCAGAGTGAAAACTGGTCAAAACTTGGTCACCTCAATCTCAATGCTATCTTAGTCAAACACGACACATGCATTCAGACCAAATTTTATGAATGGAGGTCATAAAACTGTACGCCAAAGGTTACACGTGGATGCACCAAAGGACTCAAGCTCTTGTGCTGATGCCACGTAGTATTTTTGTTCTATGTTTATTATATACTTTAATTTAATTTAATTTAATTTAATTTAACTATAATCTTTAATTTCATAGTGTAAGTAATATGTATCAAATTGTACATTCATTCTAATAAAAAGTTCAATGCAATATTGCAAATGCGTAAACAAATACCTTTCTGTAATTACAAGCATAAAAAAGGTCAGCATCTATGTATGATGTACATGAATAATAATTTGTGCTTTATTCGTTATGTAATAAAAAGATAAAATTCCAAAAACATTCTATTCAAGTCTCACCATTGTATTTTTCATTTTAGAAAAAGCTCACAAAATTTTATGTTACTGATTTAATCAATTTATTTATACTTAAAATTGTGAATTCAGACATAATTCTCCATGATAAATCTTCTAACAGGAATATCGTGTTTGATTATTTACATATTTTTAGCATGTAAATGAGTTCACAAAATATATTATAAAATATGTTTATAAGGTAATAAGGTAAAGTATATATATATAAGTTAATGCAAGTTTACGTGTCACTTTTGAGAGTCGATAAATAGATGCTTAGAAAAAGAATCTTATAGAGTGAAACGCAGTTCAAAGTTGCAAAACTTACCGGCGAAGTCGACGGTGACCGGAAACAACCAATCGACGGCAGGGAGAAATGGTGATCAGCACTACAATCGCCGACTCCGATCAGAACCTCCACTCCACTTTCGCATCCAGATATGTCCGTACATCTCTTCCTAGGTACCTTCGTCTCTTAATTTCATCTTCTGTAGACACCATGACTCGATTTTCAAAGCTCAATTTCACGTTAATTCGTCTTTTTGAAACCGATCGGAAGACTTTCATGTCAATTCCATGTTGACTGATTTTGACCAGCCTATTCTCATATTATTTCCATATCGCTATTGCTATCAATCGAATTGCTAACAGAATCAGCGAACTAAACAATGATAATTATGTGATTAATAACTTAATTGTTTGCAGGTTTAAGATGGCTGATCAATCTATACCAAAGGATGCAGCATACCAAATAATAAGCGATGAGTTGATGCTCGATGGAAACCCGAGATTAAACCTGGCGTCATTTGTGACGACATGGATGGAGCCAGAGTGCGATAAACTTATCATGTCATCTCTCAATAAAAACTACGTTGACATGGATGAGTACCCTGTCACTACTGAACTTCAGAATCGATGTGTGAACATGATAGCGCATCTCTTCCATGCTCCCATTGGAGAAGACGATGCTGCTGTTGGTGTAGGAACCGTTGGATCATCAGAGGCGATAATGCTTGCAGGTCTTGCTTTTAAAAGAAAGTGGCAAGCCAAGCGGAAATCTCAAGGAAAGAGTTGCGAGAATCCTAACATTGTCACTGGATCTAATGTGCAGGTTTGGTTACGACATATATATACTAGGATAAAAGCAAGAAACAGCAACGTTACTTTTGTTTATTTGCATGTAATCATTGTCTGTGGTCGTGTTCCGTAGGTCTGTTGGGAGAAATTCGCGAGGTACTTCGAGGTGGAATTGAAAGAGGTGAAATTGAAAGAAGGCTATTACGTGATGGACCCTGCAAAAGCTGTAGAAATGGTGGATGAAAATACGATCTGTGTTGCTACAATTCTCGGATCCACCATGAACGGAGAATTTGAAGATGTGAAGCTTCTCAACGACCTTTTAGTGAAGAAAAACGAAGAAACCGGATGGGAAACCTCGATTCACGTTGATGCAGCGAGTGGAGGGTTTGTTGCTCCTTTTCTTTACCCTAATCTTGAATGGGATTTTAGATTACCACTTGTGAAGAGTATTAATGTTAGTGGACATAAGTATGGGCTCGTGTATCCTGGTGTTGGTTGGGTTGTGTGGAGGACGAAAGATGATTTGCCGGATGAGCTTGTGTTTCATATAAACTATTTGGGATCGGATCAACCAACCTTCACTCTTAATTTCTCTAAAGGTAAAACATGTCAACAGCCTTACTTTATATTTTACTCATAATAGTAATACACTTATATTTTACTCATATTATAGCAACACATTTACGTTTCTTTACTAATAATAGACAATGTATTCCTTTTTTTCATAATAACAACATACTTGTATCCTTATACCCATAATAACAATGTACTTATATCTTTTGGCGTATAATAGCAAAATACTTGTATGTTTTATCCATAACTATGATGTACTTACATTTTGCTACCAATATGATCAATGCACATTGTCAAATACATATTTCAAGTATGTTGCTATTATGGGTGAATAATTGTAAGTACATAGTAACAAACAAAGTATAGTATCTATATCGGTGAAAAAGTAAAATATTATGTTGTTTAATGCAATTTGTCCTTTATAAAAAATGAAATGAAGAATGTATAAAGCTATTATACACATAAAGAGTCTTTACATAATATCCGAGGATTATCTTGTTTGTCTTGTAAACGTGGACAGGATCGAGCCAGATAATTGCGCAATACTATCAATTCATACGGCTTGGTTTTGAGGTAATGGTTTGAACCACTTGACTGTTTCTATCGCTTATTTTTTGTTAATCTTTTTTTATACCAATCATATTTTAATGTGTTTCACAACATAACTACACACAACATCACCATCACCGAGTCTTGGAGCAACTTGAAAGGTTACTCTTTTATGATAGGATTAAACGCAAGAAATATCAACGTACTTTCATTTATATGTTCATTATAGCATCTCATTTTATTTTTCCTATCACAATATTATACTTTTAGTTTTTTTTTCTTATTATGACATTTTAATATCAAATAACTACCCAACTACAACATTGAACTTCCTTTTTAACTTCCATTTTTTCCTTACATTGTACTTTGAAATATCTACACAATGCATTAAAATTTGCTTTGTTTTTGGATAAGATGTTATAAGTAGGTAAACTATTCGAAGCACGACATTTTAATAGCAAGAAATGAAAGTAAAATTTTATAATAACCAAGTAAAAGACACCATGTTGTTATTTCTTGCATTTAACTCTTTGTGATAAAAGGTATATGCATGTTTGGATCATAACTCTAAAAATCACTCTTGACCCAAAACACTTTCATTCACTAGGGTTACAAGGATATCATGACAAATTGTCACGAAAACACAATGGTGCTCAAAGAAGGGTTAGAAAAGACGGGAAAGTTCAATATAATATCCAAAGACAGCGGGGTCCCATTACTAGCTTTTTCTCTTAAAGACAGTTCAAAGTACACCGTGTTTAATATATCCGAGTCTCTAAGACGATTCGGATGGATCGTTCCCGCTTACACCATGCCACCAGATGCACAACATATTTCTGTTCTTCGAGTCGTAATTCGTGAGGACTTTAGCCATAGCCTAGCAGATAGACTCATTGCAGATATTGTCAAAGTAGTTCACGAGCTTGAAGGTGCACGGTTCACGGCTAACACGAGTGGTGCACACGATGGTGGAACCGTTGAACATGTTGAACATGGCTTGAGGCCTATGGAACGAGGAATAGCCAAGTATTTGAGGAGGTTCGTTCATGGCAAGAAAACAAGTAGTGTTTGTTAGCGTTTTGGTTTGTTTTTCTATATCATTCAAACTAAGGGTTTTTTTCATATTAATTACCGAAGGGATAAGATTTATAATGATGTCGAGGTTGCTTTTTGTTTTCTAGAATAAATAAAATGTCTAAATATGAATAATAATCTTTTATATCCTTATGTTCATAAGTTATATTTTTTTGAAAATGACTATCAATTTAATAATTGCCATATATATATATATATATATATATATATATATATATATATATATGAAAAAGTTCAATTCAGAACCATTATTAACCAAGGAACCAATCCAAAGCGTCGGAATTTAAAGTGATCAACGATAAAAGGAAGGGTTGTAAACTTTTATAATAGACGCACATATACCCGATTATAACAAAACTCATTTTCTTTTTTTTCATTTAAAACTTTTTTTAGACCAAGTTTTTTATCGAAAAAAAAAACGAATATACCGTTGTTCACGATTTTTCGTCCTCTTTCCATAGAGATCCATGATGATATATAAAAAACGAACTATTTTTTTTCGAAAAAAACTCACTTAATTTTCTTGGTTTCAATATTTAAGTTTATTTTTATAAAAAGAAAAACTAATTATACCAAAAATATTAATTTTTTGTACTCTATTAATAAACATCAACACCAATTTAAAAAAAAAAAAAAAAAAAAAAAAAAAAAAAAACCTCAAACAGTGTAGATTCACACTGTGAATCTAAACTTTAAATATTTCAATTTTTAACATTCATAATATGAAAAATCTCGAACAGTTGAGATTCACATTGTGAATCTGAATTAATATTATGCACACTGTGAATCTAAGAAGGTTCACAAAAAAAAAAAAAAAAAAAAAAAAAAAAAAAAAAAACTCGATCAATGTAGATTCACACTGTGAATCTAAACTGTAAATATTTCAAATTTTAACATTCACAATGTGAAAAAGCTCCGATCAGTTCAGATTCACACTGTGAATCTGACTTATTATTATGCACACTGTGAATCTGAGGAGGTTCACAATGTGAATCTGAACAGGTTCACAATGTGAATCTGAACTTAAATATCGTTTTTTTTTAACTTGAATATGAATCTATGTTTAAAAAGTACAAAAATATGAATTTTGATATATTTATTAATTTTTTTTCTATAAAAAAAATAGACCTTAACTTTTTTTATCAAAGAAAATGAAGTGGGTTTTTTTTCGAAAAAAAAGTTCGTTTTTTATATATCATCACGGATCTCTATGGAAAGAGGACGAAAAATCGTGAACAACGGTATATTCAGTTTTTTTTTCCGATAAAAAACATGGCCTAAAAAAAATTTTAAACGAAAAAAAGTTGTGAGTTTTTTTGTAAATGGTGGATTTTTTGGTATAATCTGGTGTGTGTGCGTCCAATGTAAAAGTGTACATCTATTTCCTTGGCCGTTGATCGTTATGATTTCCGACGCTCACGATTGGTTCCTTGGTTCCTTGGTTAATTATAGTTCTCTATTGAACTCCACCCTATATATATATATATATATATATATATATATATATATATATATATATATAGGGTTAGGTTAAATTGAGAACACTTTTTTATGTGAGAACATGAAGACTAATTTTATCCATTAGATTTGGTGTATTTAAGGGTCAAGATTAAGTATTCCTAATTTATATGTATTCTAACGTGTTTTGTTAATAGTGGTAATATTCAACAGTGATATTTATGTATTTAATGAGGTTTATGTAACATACGATATTGTTAAATAAGGTAATAGTGTGAAATTGCAAACGGTTACCGATAAACCCTCCGAGAAAAATCTAACCAAATCGTTTCCATTTGGGTGAAACGATCTTGATTGTAACACCCCAAATTTCAATTGTTCAATGAAGGGCCAAAAGTGTAAATTTAGGAAAGGGACTCGACGAGTAGGTCCGCTTACTCGCCGAGTCGGAGGCTTGGACTCGACGAGTTGGTGCTGAAGAGAGAAAACCCTAATTCTGGGGGTTGTGCCCTATATAAAGCACATTATAACCCACCCTCAGCCTCTTTGCTACCCTTTTGAGATCCAGAAACCCTAATTTTCGTGTGAGACTCCATTGTGAAGAGATTGGAGCTTGGAAGAGAAATTTGGTGGAAGGAGCTTGAGAAATTAGAGGCTAGCATCAAGGGGCTTGGGTAGATCTGGAATCTACATCAGTTTGGGCACATCTCAGAGGTAAGGAGCCATTATCTTAAGCTATTTCCTTTTCGGTTCATCCTTGGTGGTTGATTTGGAGTTCCTTAGCTTGTTTGAGATCTATTTCGGGTTTGGAGTTTAGATCTGAGGTTTGCTACTCCAGATCTAGACTTGTGATGGCCTAGAATGTCATAAAGCTCCTGTCTAAGAGTTGGTGGTGAAGCCCCCTAGTCCTTAACCCTAGCCCTAATGTGTTTTGGGCCTATATCTCCTTGGTTTCACGTAAAGTTTGCAACTTTATGTGAGGGTTAGACTGTAGAAGAGTGGATCTATGGATTGGAGCCCCTGCATGGCTCGAAAAGCCACTGTATGGATTGAGAACTGGAGAGACTCGACGAGTCACATGGGTGTACTCGACGAGTTGTATGAACATGTGCATGGACTCGGCGAGTTGGAAGAACAACTCGGCGAGTCTGTTGAAGATTGCCTTGGACTCGGCGAGTCTGTTCTTGGACTCGACGAGTCTGGTCACGGAACCCTAACCTCTTTTGGTTAAGCCTCGAATCGGTGAGTCGAGGGACGACTCTGTGAGTTGAGCAGGATGGGACTCGGAGATCGTTGGACTCGACGAGTCTTGGGGCGACTCGGCGAGTTGAGTCGTGTTATGGGAGTTTCTGAGTATAGGAACTCGACGAGTCGACGGGTCGACTCGGCGAGTAGAATCAACCAGGAAGGTTGACTTTGACTGAGGACTTTGACTTTGACCAAGAGTTGACCAGTTTGACTTCCAAGGGTATTTTGGTAATTTTGGTATTTATGGAATTGGTTCTTTGGTAGTGTTCTATGGTGAAGTTCGTGTCGGTGGTCGGAGCAGCTTGGTCTTATCTCTTCAGTCGGTAATTGCAGGTGAGTTATCCTCACTATATTGACAGGGTCTACGGCACCAAGGCCGACCCTTTATCGGATGGAAGTCCGGGTATTGTTGTTATGTTATTGCTTTGCTAGATTTGCATCCTCGTATTTAGGGTAATGTTATGTTAGTGACCGGTTAGGTCGGAATCCAGGCTAGGATGTTGATATGCTATGTGATCTGTTAGACTGTTTGTCTGGTTAAGGATCTGTTATGTGATTAGTTGTTTTATGTGCACATGGTTGTTTGACGGGGGTTGGGTTGAGGCGGGTCCTGCTTCGTGCTGTAGGCCAACATACCCAGGGCGGACCGGATATTCCGAAGGCCCAGCGAGCGGTCCGGATAGGCTAAAGGCCCCAAGAGGGCGGACCAGACGTTCCGAGGCTCGGAGAGTGGACCAGGACGACTGAAGGCCCGGTGTGGGCGGACCAGTCATACTGTAGACTCAGAGAGTGGACCAGGTGGATTGAAGGCCCGGTGCGGGCGGACCAATCACACTGTAGACTCGATGTACATGGCTAGACTCGGAGGGTGGACCAGGTGGACTGAAGGCCCGGTGCGGGCGGACCAGTCACACAGCAGACCCGATGTGCATGGCTGTTCTATTTGTGATATGTTATGAGAATGTTTATGTGCGGTTTGGTATTCTGGGGGTAACTCACTAAGCTTTCTGGCTTACAGTTTCAGTGTATTGTTTCAGGTACTTCAGGAGATCGTGGCAAGGCGAAGGCGTGATCGTACCGCTCCTCATGTTTTATGATTTATGTGATATGGTTCTGGGGGACACTCTGATGTTTAAACTATTTTGAAAACGAGATGTATGAACTTAATGGTTTTTGAATGAATTAAAATGTTTTAATTTGGTTGAAATTTTTGGTCGTTACATTGATAGAATCTTCAAAAAAATTTCCAAGATATTATGTGAATCGTTTTATGTTATAAAATTGAAGCGAAATGAGGTGGACGAGAGCACAGAGCTTGAGAAGGAGTCCAAGAATGATGGAAGCGGGATTTCAGTCAAAGTTTACTAATACGGCTAACAATGCTATCGATCTTGAAGAAGAAGAAGTCTTGTACATTGAATCAGGTAACATAAAGATTAATTTTTTGTTTTTTGATCTACGATCGGAAATAGGGTTTTGTTTTAGGGTTTTCTGAGGATTTATGATGTTTTGGCTGTTTGTCGTTAAAATCGAAGTTTTTTTTTGTGTTACAAGTAGTTGGTAGTGAGTGTGTTTTGATCGTAGGTTTGGTTTTCTTGAAAAAAAATTTGGCTGTGAATGTGATATGAGCTATAATTCTGTTTTGAATGAATGTGTATTTAAATGTGATTGTAGAGTATGTGATAGAGTTGTTTGATTAAACTCTGAACTTTATTTTGTTTGATCTTTGAAAATAAGAGTTCGTAAAACCTTAAATGGTATTTGTAAACTGTAAATTGGTTCAATTTTAGAAATTGTGTTCCATGATTAAGATTGAAATGTGTATTCCTTTTAGGCGCATACTTCTGTATAGAAAAATAACAATAGAAAAAATGTAGATGCGTTTATGAAATTGTTATGTAGAAGGTGATATTCTTTTTTGAGTTTGGTAATACTGATTTTGCGGATTTATGTGGATGCTTTAATGAATGTTTTTTCTTGTTTTGAATATGAGTAATGATGCATAAAAAATTCAACATCTAATAAGTGTATGAGTGAATGGTGTTACTTCTAAGGCCATAGTTTGATGTTGTAAATAAATAAGTTTAGCAATGTCTATGCGTGTATGAATGGGTGCATGAGTAGTGTTGTTATTTATGCTAAGTAAATGAAAGTACATTCAATAGTGAATATGTATGGAATTGAATGAGTAATCTGTATTGAATGTGAATGCATGTGTGGATGTGTGATTAAGTGAATATGTAGTCTTTTATAAGAGTTGTTGAGTATGATAAGTGTTGAATATGATAAATGTTTTTATGTGGTAAGTTAATGAATGTGTAATCAATAATGAATATGAATGACTATGCAATAGTGAATGTGTGTGCAAATGAATGAATATTCTGTAATGACTGTGAATGAAGTTTTGTGGGATAAGTTTTATGCCTACAGTTTGTTATTGATTAAGTGAATGAGGAATCTGCAATGAATGTGGAAGTGAATGAGTAATCTGGAAGTGAATGTGTATTGTTTTAGGAAGTGAATGTGTAGTCTTTTATGAGTACATGATATGAGGGATTAGTTTTTTGCACATGAATATGTATTCATGTGTGAATATGTGAGAAAATGAATTGTAGTGATTAATCTGTTATGAATTTGTATGAATTTGTCAATATATGAGAGAATGATTTTTTTTTAGTACATTAGTTATTGGATAAATTTTGTACATACAATTTGTAAAATGTAAGAATGATAATTTTTTATTAAAATGTACAGGGTCATCAAGCGTCTGTGTAGTTGAAGGAAAGAAATCTATGAGGAGTGCAGGGAAGAAAGGGGTACCTGGTGGGGGACAAAAACTAGAATTACCCAAAAAGACAAGCAATGGAAAAGCATATAAGAATGACTCAAGTGATGATGATTTTGTTGAGAAGAAAAATAAGGTGGATTCTGGAAAGAATGAAAAGAAAATGAAAAGGAAAAGGGTTGACAAGAGTGTTAATGATAAAAAGGTTAAGGTGAAAGGGAAAAAAGTAATTGGAGCTGAAGGAAAATGTAAATAAGGGAAGGTAGGAACTGAATTTCAAAGGTTGAGTACTCGTATGTCTCCAAATTCTTTCTATCTAGCCATGAAAAGTTTGTTAAAAAGCCAGAGAGAAATGGTACGCGATATGGGTTTTGGATCTTTTCTGGGAATGAAGATTGATACACTACCTGGAAAGCTAGCATATTTTGTTGTAGATAGCTTCACAACAATTTCTTGTTCCATAAGGGTTAAAAGTGGTGAAGTGGCCATAACAAACGAGACAGTGGAAGCTATGTTTGGACTTCCGAATAAGGGTTTGGATTTTAACACACTGGATGAATGTGATAAGAATGATCCTTTGCTTGAAGCTTGGAAAGGACAATATGGGAAGGGAAATTATTATAATGGGAACTATTTGAAAAATATAAGGAAAACAAATGTTGCGGATGAGTTGTTTAAGCTGAATTTCTTGATGTTATTCATTAACACTTTTGCTGAAATAGAGACAATGGGGTCTTGTAGAATTAATTTTATTGAAAAGTTAATTCAATGCAAAGATGTGTCAAGGATTAACTGGTGTGAGTACATAGTGGACTGTTTAGGAAAAAGCAAGAATAAATGGAGCCAAATGACAAAAACTGCTACTTCACAGGACCTGTAGCGTTTCTAATGGTATGATATTGAATATTGATTTAATCTTTTAATTTTTTTTATCATTAAAATTTAATTGTAATGAAAAAATTATTGAATATAATTGTGCAGATGGCGTATGCAGACATAGTGATATGTGAAGATGTAAATTTGCATAGGCATAGGCCCTTCATCACAGAATTTGATTCAGAGCACCTAAGAGTGTTAGAAGAATATGAAGTAAGCAGGGGTGTATTTGGAAATCTAAGTTTAAGGGAAAATGTGGATGGTATGTTTTATGATGCGATGATGAATCAAGATCATTCAAAAGATAGATCAGTTGAGGTAAAATGATTTTATAATAAATATAATAGGAATAGTAATTATTTTATTTTATTGTTTTTTAATTGTATAGCATTAAAAAATATTAGATTGTTAAAGTAACAGTTCATTTGTTTTTATTGTAGGAGAGTTGTGGGATTATTGAGAGTATGGTTGGAAGGTTGGTTGAACAAAAAAAGGTTGTAGAGGCAAGTAGTTTGATGTGTATGGAAATGCATCCGAATAATGATAAAAAAAGGCAGTGATTAAGAAGGTTGTTGACATCTTTAATGGGACAACACTAAAAGCCTTAATTGTTGATGGGTATGATGATAGAATGGAAGTTGATGGTACGAGTGTGAATGCAAAAGAAGGAGGAAAAACAGTTGAGGATATGAACCAAATGATTATTAATTTGACAAATAAGATGGGGGAGGATTTACTTAGTGGACGAAAAGTTTATTCTGTATCGAATGTGGATGCTTCAGATCAGGGAATGGAAGGAATGTCCCCGACAATTGTGAAGCCAACTGGTATGTGCAATGATAAGGTTCTGTTTGAGCATCATGGTGGTTCACATCAACAGAATATAGGAATGGAAGTAGTAATGTACAATGGGAATTCTACTTTTGATTCTCCTTGTATATTAACACCTGGTTGGATAAAGCAAGCTGATGAAATAGAAAGGAACAGCTCTAAAAAGAGTAGTATGTTTAATAATGATTGTCCATCGTTTGAAGCTAGACTTAATGAATGTGCAGATGAGATGAATACTTCGAAAGGGAATGAAGGTAAAGATGATGCAATTGTTGAACAGGAATGTCCTAAAAGAACAAAGAGAAATGTTGAAGCTGTAGTAGGGATTAAAATGAGAGAAAAAAGAGAAATGAAGCATGGACCTACATTGAAGTCACCTTTTGTACAAATAGTTGTGGACTTGAAAGATTCAGTTGAGCAAAAAGAAATACTGGTTGCACAAGCTATTGCTGGATTAGGAATGGATAAAAGGTGTAGTTGCATACTTTTTTATTTGTTTTTTTATGATTAATGTTGTGTAAAATATCTGATGTATACAACCATGACAAATGCAGGGAGCTCGTATGGGAATCAAAAGAAGGGTTTGGAATGCATCTAGAATATGCCAGAACTATTGCAGCAAAAGTGAATATTCATTCAAATGTAATAGACTGTTGGAGTGTTCTACTAAACAAATTGGAAGAGAGTAAGGCAGAGTTGTCGTATTCTAGACTTTTTTTACAACAGGCACACCGGTATGGTTTATTTTAAAAAATATAATAACAGTTTTAAAAAAATTTAATGTTACTTATTGTGTTGTTTAATTGTAATGCCCAGCGTGAATCAATGTATGACGAGAGGGTAAATGAAGATGTAAGATACAAGGAGTTTGAAATTATGGTTTCCTCATCAATTGAAGATCTTACAACTGATTCTGAGCTAAAAAACGTGGATTTGGTAATAAAAATATGATGATTAAAATGTTTAATATTACATTTATTTGTTTTTTTATTAAGTGTTATATGTTGATTAAAATGTTGTAGGTTTTCTTCCCCATTGTTGATGGGAATTACTACCTCATATGTTTTAACCTTAAAAGTTTTTCAATTTTGATAATTGATCAAAGGAGATTGGTGTGAATAGTTGAGTCGGTCTATGGGAACATACCCCGTGTGCTGGTAAGTATGAAAATAAAATCATTAATCTTAATATATGTTTATGTGATTATGTAAATGGTTAGTACAATTTGTGTTACATAATTAATGATTGTCTGTAATGTTTTGTTAACAGCAAAAAATTTTCTGCCGTTTTCTAAATGATGTCTGTAAGAAGAAGGTGAAGACCCTGATGACAAGGAATGTGGTGGTGTTGAAAATGAAGTGTAAAGCATACAACCGTTCAGATGATGGTGGAATCTACCTTATGCGACATATGGAGAGTTTTATGGGGGATCAAACATCAAAGTGGGATGGTGGGCTAGCTGTGGATTTAAAAATACAAGATATGTATTTACAGAAGTTAAGGTACAAGTATTTGGTGAGGTTGCTTTTGTCTGATCATAATATTTTGAAGTGTGATTTTGAAAAGGAGTATGCAAAGTTTGTTAAGATGGATAAGGCGACAAGGAAGAGAATAGTTCAAGAGAATCTAAAAGTAGTCTTTGATGAAACAATTGGTTAAAAGTTGATGGGGAAGGTGTTTGTTTTTTTGGGTCTGGTTTGTTGATTAGTATTTTTTTGACAAACAGCTTTCTTTGGTGGGATGGTAGGTTTTTGTTTAGGGTTAATGTAGTATGGATCTGTTTTTGTTATGTGTCTAAAGTTATTATGTTGGTTGTGGTTTGAACCTTTATTACTACTAGTTATGTATGGATTATTATGTTGACTATGTGTTGACTGTTTGATCAATGTGTCTGAAATGATTTAGTTTAAGGTAAAAGTTAATTCGATTTTCAGCAATTAATTTTTTTAGAGTTTTTACTTTAATGGACATGTCGTGGAATGTGATATGAATGTTGTATAATCCAAAACTGTAAATTCAAGAAAGAATATGTAATCCAAAGCTGTAAGTAGAACAACCAAATCATTATAAATTCGCAATTAGCAATTTATGTACATTTTTGGTTACACTTATATGTACATTTAATGTGTACAAGTTTTTTTGAAAACACAATAAACGTGTATACGGTACAGTACAAGATATGTACATTAAGTGATGAAATTTTTGTACTTGATAATGTATGTAGTATCATAAATGAATGTCATTGTGAGTATGCTCTTTTCGAGGGGTTTTGAAAAACTTAATATCTTTTTAAGTTAGAGAAACGACTCATCATATATTGAGTGTTCCGTAATAGTGTGAATACTAATATCATTCAATGATGAATACTAATATCATTCAACGACTCATCATATATTGATTTGAAAATACGTCATATTTTTATGTATGCAACACAACATTTGTTTTGAAAAACTTAATATCTTTTTAAGTTAGAGAAACGACTCATCATATATTGAGTGTTCCGTAATAGTATGAATACTAATATCATTCAATGATGAATAAATTTGTACATAAAAATTTACTATAAAATAGTATAAAAATAACATTTATAGAGAAATGCAAAACAATATAAACGACAATCAAAATTCTTATTAGCATTCAAACATGTCTTTAATATGAATATGACAAATCTAAAACAAGCAGATGTAAAGAAAAAAATTTAAGTTTAGAACATGCATGCACAATTAAAAAAATAAAAAGAAATGCTTAATATAATTAATTCTTCTTTCCTGGACGTTCTTTGAAAATGTTGTTCTTCTCATCTTCTTTCCTTACAGGACAATTTCGCCAATCATGATCGTTGCCCTTGCGACAATAACTGCATCTGGAACCCTTTGATTTTTCTGTTGCAACCTCTCTCGAACTTTTCATTCTTTTTTTAGTACCACTTCCTTTGTTCTGGATTTCTCTTGGATTGTGAATATCCACACTAGTGGGAATGGTAACACCAAGAGTTTTTTCGAACTCTTTATTCTTGTTTCCTTTATCATGAGTTGTGAAATTGGAAAGGAACTTTGCTTCAAGCTGCTTTATTTCGTCCAAGTATTCTTTCAATTTGGTGTGATTATTACTGAGAGAAGATACACAGTTGTCAACAGTAGAAAATATATCAAGTGCAACTCTTTGGGTATTCTCGTCAGAATCAGCATAACGAAAACACTTTTTCAATAGTTCTGTGGGGATGATGTCCTTCTGCCAGCGTCTGAGTAAATATTTGGAAGGAATCTCTTTGATGTTATATGTCTTCATTACGGTAAAAATGTGGCGACACAAAAAACCAAATTGCTCAAACTTCATACAAGGACATGTAAATGTTTGTACAGACTTATTGTGTGTAACCTGTATTGAATAAAGTGAAGAAAAGTTAGTAAAAAAATATATGAAACTTAAAAGAGTAAGAGTACAAGTTTCAAGAGCAATTACCTTGTAAGTAGACTCACTTATAGGTATATCCCATTGATCATCATTTTCAACTTCTGGATCAAGCTGAGAAGCATTTGAATTAGAATGAATGTAATGAATAAATTCCTTGACAAGACACTCATCAACGTCATCAAATGTGCTGATCGAAATTTGTGTACATGAAACCATAGACAAGTACATTTCATTTTGAACTTGACGAAAAACAGTGCGAGTGTAAAACATAGATGCATTCCTCTCGATCTCAAATGGTGTCCTCATTGTTGGATGTTTGTTGTTAGTTTTGAAGTCAAATGATGACTGAGTGAATCTTTGCTTCTCCATAGCAACTTCAAATGAAATCATGAAATGGACAAGAGTAGAACCATAATGCGTGTTCTGGTGAAATTATGAATTCTCACTTTCAGAACGAGATTCAGTTCGCATTAATCCTGATAAAGGTACATGCTTGAAAAATGCAGGTATCCAGAAATGTCTCAATCCATGCATATCATCCAACCATTTATTATCCGTGAGCTTATATTCATTCAATAACGACTTCCACCCTACCTCAAAGTCATGAACTTCAAGCCTAGAATTCCATATCAAGAAGTTGAACTTTTTACGAAATTTTGGATTGTTGACAATGTTCAAAGAAACCTGTGAATTTGTAAATGTAATATCTGTAATCAACTATAAAACCAATACATTCTGGTTTGAATACACCAAAAAAATGATTGTTTTATTGGTAAAGTGTATTACATAGACAAGAATAAATACCTTCAATGGCAATTTAGATGTGATATGTCACATGCAAAGCCTATGAATCGATTGTGGAAAAACAGTTTCGATGGCTTTCTTCATTGCAGGGTCTTGGTCGGATAAAACCAACAATGGTTGTTTGCCAAAAGCTTTAAGAAAAGATTTCAACAACCATATATAGGAATCAGTGTCTTCTCTGCTCAACAAGCCAGCACCAAAAGTGACACACCTCTTGTGATTATCAATTCCAGTAAAAGGGACATAAACCATATGGTACCTGTAAACGTATTTGAATTAATATGTATATTATTAATAAATAGAAATATAATAAACTACAATCATTTACAACCTGTTAGTTCGAAAAGTAGCATCGAAAGAAACTACATCACCAAACTCTTTATAATTTATCTTGGATGTTTCATCTGCCCAAAAAAGAGCATTCAACTGCTTATTCTCAACTCGATACTCAAAAGAAAAATTATTAACATTCTCTTTTCTGTTATTCAGCTTGTCCACTAGCATATGAGCATCACTACCACCTATAAAGCAATTGAGATCCCTCATGTAATTTTTGAAGTCATCAATTAGACCGCCTACAAAATTGTATCCACCAAGAATACTTGTATACAGCCTGTGAGCTATGGTTGCACCAATATTCTGATTAGACATTGTAAGAATGAAAGGTTTTTGAGTGTCATCCAGCTGCCTATGATGACGTGAAAACAACATATTGTCTCTTGATATAAGTGGGTGATTGTGTTTTTCTTTAAATTCATATAACAACCATTTGGTAGTTCCAGGAAAAATTTTAAATCATATACGTGCCTGGCATCCGGTCGTACTAGTGTCAACCCTTCTCTTAATTTTACTTGTTTTTGGGTCCAAAGTATCAACGGGAGATGTATTTGGGAAACCTTCCCTGTTACATAGAAGATATTTGATGTACACCATACCACGCTTCTTTTTGTTTGTTGACTTTCTAACATCAAAACCTGTTGCACATGCATATTTTATGTACATGTCTTCAATTGCATCATCAGTTGGGTATTTATGGTTTATTATTGGCTTAAGATCATCAGGGACAGAAGGAATCCAATACGATTTACCAGCTATTACCAAGTGTTGATCAACACAATCATCTTTTCTCTCATTACATAAATCAATGTCTGTAACATCTAATAACCATGACAAGTTAATAACATAATACAAATAACAAATCAACAAATCAAATAAACTTAAATATATATTATACGATACTGAAATGTCAATTAATGAAATAAGCTTAAATAGATAGTATACGATACTGAAATGTCAATTTTTTGATAGTATTCTAACAATATACAAAATTGTGTAATGTAATTGACACATATTTAACAAACTTAAAAAAAAAAAAAAAAAAAAAAAAACATACCAAGAACTTGAATAGATTGATGAATATTTTCAAGAAATGTGAAATCCCGTTGATTGTGGTCATCCATGATGTCGACTTTTCCAAATGCGGTATTATCATCATCAGTCGAACAAAATTCATCATCACTTGACAAAAATCATCATCGACTGAGGCAGTTTGAGCGTAATTGATCTCGTCCTCTTCATTGATCTCGTTTATATCATCAAACTCGTTGCAGAATGACAAATCCATTAATGGATTCTTACGGACAACTTTCAGAACAGCTTAACTTGAATATCCGATTCGGTTTGTTAATATTGATGACTGACACACACGATTGATGATTGAAGAATTAATAAATGTTTGTTAGAGATAATATAAAACGTTCCTTAATTATAGGAGTTTGATTGATATATTCTTTAAAGCTGATTAAACAATCAAACATTGCCTTTATTAATTTAAAATATTATAAATTTTATATTTAATTAATTATATATATTGATTGGCTGAAATTTGTCCTCATGTTCTCACTTTAAAAATAGTTCTCATTTGAACTTAATTATATATATATATATATATATATATATATATATATATATATATATATATATATATATATATATCGATTGTCAAAATCATGAATTATTAGTTCCTAGTTCTACTTTTAAGTATTTAAACAAATAAATGGTTTCTCAAAATCAATTAAAGAAAAAACAAAAAAAAAAGTAAGAAAAGAGGCATAATCTAATCGCATATCATCACCACTACATGTAAATTGCTATCCCATTAATTTAAAAGCTCCTTTGTACATGGGAGATTACTAATGAGAAGCTACGAATAAACGTTGAAGTGTGGTTTATGAAGAAACAGATTGAGGGTAAAATTGGAAAATAGGGATCTGGAAGTAACAAGTGTCTATATCCTCACTTAGGATAATAAAACATGTTCTATATATTTAGTAAAAAAGATCTACATATCTAGTAAAAAAGATCACAGAAATTTGTATCTATTAAAATTGCTTTCTATTAAATCCATCTAGTCAAAGAAAAACAAACACCCTGAGTATAGT